CACGTAGGCAGCGTATCAGAGAAGGAAACTTACAGGCCTTCCGCCATCGACTCAAGCGTTTCTGCGGAGTCTCGCGTCTGAAACATGTGGGCCGACCCACCGATGAGACAGGTTCCAATCATAGAGGCCGACTGGGAAAGCAATTAAAAATGGTATTAACATCAGTTTTCCAGAATCTGACTTCTGTGGACGAAATCTGCAGGGCACCGGACCCGTGTGCAGAGGGGTTAACATAGCAGGACACAGGAACAGGGCTGACCCACGTGCTGTGTCAGCGCTCGCTCTCCAAAAAAAAAAAAAAAAATGTGGCCACCGAAGAAAGTGTGAAGCATGCTAGAAGAAGACAATATTTATGGCTGAAGAAATTTGGCCTCACATAACGGTAATTATGAACAAGATATTTTCCCTAATAAAATTACTGCAAAACAAAATCTGGAGAATCTAAGTGCTTCCCTATGTTGTCTTTATTTTATCCCATGTGCTCGAGTGATTTTGAGGAGAAGGAAAAAAAAAAGAAGCAAAGGGAGCAGAGAGAAAGCGCGCTGTAGCGAGATGGCCTCTGCAGAGGGTTGGTTTTGCTTTAGAAACTGGAATGTGTCCAGGCTTGATTTTTATTTTCAATTCACATTTCAGATCCAGCTCCCCAAACTCTTTGATCTTTCTCCCTGTCTCCTTACCCGGAAGAGAACCCTTGGCCTTCTCAGCTGGGAGCTGGGAGCACACGTGGAAAGACTGGCTGGGATCCATATTCTTGCCAAATTTAGTCACACAAAGGGGCCTGAGAGGGAAAAAAGAAAGGATGAAAGCCTCAGCCGCCGCGACTTCAAAGGCCGCGCCGCCGCGCCGGGCCCTGCGCAGGCGCCGCCCTCCGCCGATATAAGGCAAGTCCCGCGCGCGCGGGCGGCCCTTCCGCGCGCAGCCCCGCTCCAGAACGGATGAAGGGGGCCGAGGGACTGTGGAGAGGGACCGAGGGGCGTGCTTTCTAGAAGCCGGTGCCCAGGCCACATTAAGGCGAGTGAGAAAAGTTTTGAGAAACGGAGGAAAAGAATGTGATGTTTCAGCCCCCTAGACTAGCGGTTCCCCGGCTGGCACGTGTGTCCCAGAGCCGAAGTCCATGTGCGGCGGCCCCTCGTTCCCATGTCACGCGGCCTCCCCGGTGCGGGATTTCCACTTACCGGGGCAGAGCCGAACCTCCGCATCCCTTCTGATTCATTCTGGTCCCCCGTGTCCACCCCGCTTGTCCACCCCACCGTCTGTCCTCAGCCACCCTCAGCTCCACGCCGTCCAGGCGTTGAGGCTGGCACTCCGGCCTGGGGTTGACATTCCACGGAGCAGAGTGGATGGGGCTCCCTCGAGGAGGGTACACAGTGCTGACCGCCGTGGGTCCCGCGCTCGAGTTGCCCTCCCGCCCGGGAGGCCATGACAGACGCCAACGGGCGCCGGTCGCGCGGAAACCCGGTGTCTGCAGGTTTTCACGGTCCCACGAGTTCCCTGGCCCTGGAGGAAGGGGCTTTGGGTTTGTTTGTCTAAGGCGGAAGAGCCCCTGGGACACAAACTGCCACTTCCCTCGTCCCCCTTCTTCGCGACGTCGGTTAAACTGAAGGTGCCCACAGATTGAGCCTCCAGCCGAAGCTGGGGTGGGAAACCGGGGTCTCGGTTCCGCCCCTGGAATCACATGAATTCGTTTTTCTAGTCCCTTCTCGGCTGTCTTTCAGAGCATCTTCTTCCGTAGGCCCCGCCACCTCCTTCCTTTGGGATCCCACCTAGGTTGCAGCTGGCAGAGAGTCTAGGCCACACAAAAAGAAGACCCGGAGCTTGGGCTGGGGTTAGGACCTAGGGGGCGGAGAGGACTGTGCGGGGGAACTGTGCTTCTCATCCCTGTAATTAAGGACGCTGGACTGTCTGCAGCGGACTCCACTTAGCTGCAAAATCGCTAAGTGGGGGAGGGTCTTGTGTGGGTGTGGGTCATTTCTCCTGTCGCCCCCCCCCTTCGTGGCTCACTGGGCTAAGCGCACCTCGGGTCAGCACGGCCAACTAAGCTCCCCGTAGCCTGGGTTTCGGGTGAGGTTGGGAGCCTGGTTCCCTCTATACTCCCCCTCCCCATCCTCACCCCTACCCAGAGGCACAGCACGGGCGACAGCGCCTTATGCAAAAGGAAGTGTTGATATAAAACAAGTTCGCTCCCAAACTAAACCCAAAGCCACCAGGAGGGGAGAAACCAACAGCAACGGAGCCAGCCCCTAGCAATTGTTTCACGGTCGGAATTAAATCACATCAAAACGCCCCCTGAAACCCACATCCTGAAGGAGTAAAACCTACTACAGCCAACCTCCAGTGGTTCGCTAGAGTTCACACGAATAACCTGCTTCTACATCCGAGGAAAGAGGGCGGCAGGGCTGCTTTTGTACCGCACCCACCACATCCCAGATCTAGGCTCCCACTCGCTCTACCCCAAGAAGCGAAGAAGCGGCTGCTTATGCTAATAACAGCCCCACAGGAATTAGGAGAGACTGCCAGGCGGCTGGAATGCCTTTGCCAGGAAAGCAAAGTCCAGAGACACCACTTCCTGGGGTTACTTCGCCCCTCCTGCATCTCCTTGCTTTTCTCTCTTAAGAGGGGCAGACTTCACAGGGAAAAGTCACCCTCCTTTACCGACAAAGCTCTAAAACATGTGGGCGCGTGGTTTTAAGGGCACCCTTATTTAAGATTTGGAACACTGCTAAAGACAGCACACTGAGGAGACCACTCACCGCCACGCACACAGAGCGAGGCCATTAGGTGATTTCGTTAGAGCTAATGTTTCCAAGGAGGGTTACCGCAAGGTACCAAACGCAGCCACCTATCCCAGCCTTTTTTGTAAACCATTCTCGCTAGGTATTGCGCCAAAATTCCCCATCTTCTTGAGCTCCTAATCTCCGGGACACCTGGAGCTGAGCTCCGTATGACTCACAGAGTCCAGATAATTAACGCGAAGGAGAAAATGGGAATTCGAATTAGTTGCAACACTTAAACAGGGAAGATGTAGAGTCGTCATTTAATCTCCTCTTGGCTTTCAAAAAATACCCTCTAGCCATTCTTCTTGCCCCCTCCCCCTCTGGGTTTGATGAAAAGGACCGATCTACTCGGGCTGCTTTGATGAAACTGCATTTCCAGGGTTCTTTTGCACAAATTGGCGCACTCGGAGGAGGAATTCTGACTTTGTTAAATTTATGTTAGCAGGAGCTATAAATGTCTAAAACTGTGCCCCCTCTCTTCGCCTACCATATTAACAGCAATGGAGGTTACATACCATCACTATAAAAATGGATTTATTCCCAACCTTCCTCATTATTCTCCTTGACACCCTGAAGTAAAATGCCATTTGTTTTTTTTTTTTTTTTTTTAGTTTTCTTCTGGAAGGAATAGCTTTGTCGATTATTCAATTAAAAAAAAGTTTTCGTTTTTCTGACTTCTTTCACCAGCGTCTTGTTTCTAAATCTATTAGTTTACATAGGACCGTCTGGGATATATTACCTATTCATTACATATTACCTATGGGACCAACTGAACTGACATATAGCTTTGAAAACTACTTCCTAGCATGCTCTTAAACTGGCAGTTATCCGTAAGCAAAGTTTTAAATGCCTACTTAAAGAACTGTTAAAGTCTACAATGCCCACAATTTCACCTTTCAAAGAGAAATCTTTGCCTAAGCGTTCTTATGTAATGACACTAACACATAATTCTCTGTGCTATTTTCAATTTAAGGAAGATGGAGACACAATTCTTCCCGTCGCCTGTTTACTGTTCCCAGGTTTTACAGGTGGCTACCGCACTGGTGCAATAATATTGCCTGAATATTTGACTGAGGGGAGGGGTTGAGAGCTAAGGGACAATATGTAATGTATTTCCAAACTTAAGCCTCACACAGTAACTTTCACAGAGCGACCCCCTTTAAAAAAGAGAAAAAGAAGTCCTATCCTTTTACAAAATGCATCAAAGACAGAGTGGGAACTGTGGAATTTTTTGAGGTTGGATTCGGATTTACGTTCTCAAGGGTCCCTTTCAGCGTTGTTGTCCAGGATGTCAGCAACTGCGCAGTCATGCCTCCCTCTCTTAGGTCCTTCTTCTCTCTCGTTTGGGATGCGTTTTCATCTTCTACACACGGAGTCTTTGCATATCCGAAAACCCACGTATATTCGGTGGTAAGGACACAATGAAAGCAATAGTGTTTTAAAAGCGATAATTAAGGTCCAATCTTCATTCGCTCCCCTTCTTCCCTGGTCCATTTTCCCCTGGTAAGCCTGGAGATTTTATTTCCCCTTGTCTCCGAAGAGCGTGTGATATACGTTTAGTGCAGCCACAACTCTTTTCCTTGTGCTTGCTGGGTCTCTTCTCTCTGCTTAGGTGAGCAATGTGTTACATTTTCTGTTTTTCCTTCTCCTAGTCCCTAATTCTCGCTTCATTCCCTCTGTCAGAGCATCTATCAACGTGGTGTCGACCACAGCGCCGGCGGCTTTCTCTTTCATCTTCCTCCCCTTGCCTGAGTGAGGGGGCTAGAGTGGGCGGCGGAAAGGAGGTGGGAGAGAGAGACTGGCAAAGGACGGGAGTGAGTGGGGGCAAGAGAAGAAGAGATGCTGAGATGATGAAGTTAAGCCTTTCAGGTAGAGTTTCTTGTCATTTTCACCCGGCAACAGCGTGCTTAGGAGTGGGTTACAAGCAGCACCCGTTCCTTCTCCAGGTTGCGTTTTTTTTTCCTTCTCAAGATATGAACACACGCGCGCGCGCACGCACACACACACACACACACGCATGCACCCCCACGGCGCCCCCCAAACTATGACTTGTCCCCTAGGTGCTGGGAAATGAACCAGAGCTGGGGGAGAACCTGGATCTCCTCCTCCAAGCTGACTCCCTTCTCCCCACCCCTCCAACCAGCAGCCAAGGAGAGCAGGGGGCGGGGGAGGGGCGGAGGAGGAGAAGCGACGCAAGTGAATAGCTTTGCAGCGCCGGCTAGGCGCGCCGAGGAGAAGCGGTGGGAAGGCGCAACCGCTCACCTGCTGGGCAGCGCACACCGGAGGGACCCGGCTGTGCTCCCAAGGGCCCTGGCATCCGGACTCGCCCGGAGCCTTGCAAGCGGCCACGCTCCGGGTGTTCTCCTCCCAGCGGCCTGGAGGAGCCGTGGGGCCACCGGCAGCTCTTTGCTTTGACAGAGGGGAGGCGGGGAAAGAGGCGAGTAACAGAGCCAGCGAGCCAGGCAGAAACTCGAGCCGGGAACAAAGAGGGATCGGGCTCGTGGTGTGTGTGTGTGTGTGTGTGTGTGTGTGTGTGTGTGTGTACCGTCCCGAGCTGGAGGCTGGAACATTTGGGCCCAAGGCTCCTGCTGTGACTCCCCAAGACTCCGCCGTGCCAGCCACTGCTGATTCCCAGCGCTCATCAGCACAAACTTTATTCTTGGCAAACTTCTCTTTTTCTCCCCTCCTCCTCCGCCCCCTTCCCCCCCAGCAGATTAAATGCTCCTCCAGAAGGAAAACCGAAGCGAAAGGGAAGGAAAGAAGCTCTAAGTCGGACGTCTGCAGCCCGGGTGGCTCTTTATTGTTTACTCTTCAGGAAGTGGACTTTCGGTATTTTTTGATTCTTCTCGCACCTCTGCTGGGGCAAACGGAGCCTTTTGGCCCAGCTCTCCTCTTCTTGAAAAAAAAAAAACAAAAAAAAAAACAACAACTTCGAAATCGGCATCCGAGGAATCCACGGTGGAGAAGTTTTGCACAGTGACGCGCCACGGGATCCTCCTCTGCACTTTGGAAAGTCGTGTCCCCTCCGGAACTGGTGTCCTCGGCCCACAGACCCCAGCGAGGCGGAGTGGCCACCCGGCCCTGGCAGCCTAGCCTAGCGCACGGGGAGCGCCGCAGACGCTCTCAGAGGCGCCGGCGGCTGCCGCCCTCGCAGTCTGGTGCCCTTCGCCTGGGGGCCGGGCGCCGGCGTCCTTCTAAGTGAAGTGGGAAAGCGACGCGATCGCAGCGGCTCCCGCAGCTGCTCCGGCCTCGGGCCCCCCGTTTGCCCACCCCGCTTCCATTAGTCGTCCTCCCACACGCAGTCTTCCAACTCTCATCTCCCCCACCCCTGTCACCTCACATCGAACCCCCCTCTCCTGCCGTCGCCGAGTGCTCCCGCAGCGGAGCGGAGATTACAGAGCCGCCAGGATGCCCCAACTCTCTGGTGGAGGCGGCGGGGGAGACCCGGAACTCTGTGCCACCGATGAGATGATCCCCTTCAAGGATGAGGGCGATCCCCAGAAGGAGAAGATCTTCGCCGAGATCAGTCACCCCGAAGAGGAGGGCGACTTAGCCGATATCAAGTCATCCTTGGTTAACGAGTCCGAAATCATCCCGGCCAGCAATGGACATGAGGTGAGTGGGCCACTGTCCCGAGAGGCGTGGCGGGTCCCGGGGACGCAGGGAGGAAGCAAGCCGAGCGCGCGGCCAGTGTGGCCGCTGCGCCCTGGTCCCTCGCGGGCTGGGCGGGGAATAACGGCCCCTGGTCCACGGTGCGCACGTGTGTGAGCGGCGGGCAAGGGAATTTTTTCCAAGTGGGTCTGTGGCTAAATTGTGGTGAATAAGCAGGAAACGCTGGCCTTTACTCGACCCCGTTTCGTCTTTGGAAGTTTCGGCGGAGCTGAGGGTCACAAAGCGTTAAAAGCAGGGATTTCTGAACACAACTGCGAAGTCCATCCTGGGGCTGAACACAAAATGCATCCGCTAGCTCTCACCATACAGCATGCAAAAGTGCGTTAAACCACCGAGGCTCCAAGGAGCCGAGCCCCAGGCGGGAGGAAGGAGAGGCGGGCGTGGGCTGGCCAGGAGGGGCCGTCCCAACCGCCGTGTAGTAGGGCGCGCGCGGGGGCGTTGCGGGGGCTGGGTCCCCACGGCGGGCGAGGCTGCTGCGGGGAGCCGTGGGCGAGCCAATCCGAGCCACCCAACAGCATAGCCACCGCAGTCCTTCCGCCCGCAACTCCGGCATTTAAAGTGGAAAGAAAGGCGTTTATTTGGGGGTTAGGCAGGCCTTGGATCTCTGCAGAAGAAAGGCGAGCCCGAGAGCGGGGCGGCAGCAGCGGAAGCCGGGCCTCGGCTGGGGAGGAGGGACACGCTTATCAGATCTCGAGGCCAGCTGCAGGCGACGGCGCTGGTAACCCGAGTAGAGTAAATAGAGACACGTGGGTGCCGGCGCGAGAGAGCAGAGAGCCGGGCCGCGCGCGAGCTTCGGATGGGCGTAGATCCCCAAGAACCCACACCTCAGCGGCCGCTCTGGCTCAGCAGCTGGGGAAACCTCATGGGGACATCCAGTAGAAAAGTTCTGATAGCCAAATGATGTCCCCAACGGTTTTTTTTTTCCTTCCAGAGAAACTTGTAGACTATACCCTTTTCCTTAAATGGCAGCCTTCTGCCCCCACCCCAAAGGAAGGGTGGTTTCGGGGGCGGAGACATTTTGGGTTTAAAGAGTACTTTTAAGAACACCTCCGAGTTACCTTCTCTGTCCCGATGGCAGGGGTGAGTACACTCTTGAGAAGGCTGGGGGGCCTGGTTCCTAGAATATAAGGGGACTCTCTGTTCCCAAAGTCCAGCAAAAAAGTAGTGGAGGGTGGCTAGGGTGCAGTTAAAATCAGATTTAAAAAAAAATAATAATAATAAAAGGTTTCTGTGTGCCTGAAGGATGAGGTCGCCTGGAGGACACAGGTTCAAAGAATCAAATGCCACCTAAACTCCGGGGTTTTTGCCAGACCGTAGAGGGCCTCTTTCTACTAGAGTGGCCTACAGATTTCCATCCTCCCATTTCTACGGTTTGCTAGTAGAGAAGAAAAGCAGCCCTTTGGAAATCGAGAAGCCCTGGGGTTGGGAGCTTGAACTGCCCAGACCGGCGGAAGATGGTGAAGGGGCAATACCACTGATTTGCACGTGGTTGAGTCGGGTCGGTGGCGCTTACCAAAACTGATATTAACTGGGCTACCTTTCTGATGTCTACTACCTGACTCTCAGTTTTTCCTCCCTTAACCACAGACCAGTTCTACTCAGCTAGCCTGCTAGCATTCAGCCTTTAAGTTGTAAAAGAAACTCTTAGGCAGTTTCCCCCAGACCTCAGCAAAGTGGTTGTTGTGTTTATGTTTCCAGATCTCATTTTCAGTTACAATATTCTGGTGGCATTTAATCAGATCTTGATAGAATAAACCAAGGCTGAGGAGGCTAACACATCCTAGAAGTTGGGGCACCCAGGAAGCACTGATGGGTTGTTAGAGCAGGACACGTCATCCCCAAATTCAGTTTTTTTTTTTTGCCACCTTTCTTACTTTTTGATTCAGAGTACCTAATAATCACTCAAAAAGACACATTGAAAAGATTTTCCAGTACTCAAGCCTAGCCTGTCTTTAATTTTAATTAAATGGTTAGACCGAGTTTTACCTAAATGCCTTCCTTTGAATTACCAGTCGACACACCATAACTGCTACAAACTCTAAGATGATCTTCTTTCTTTTGGGGGTGGCTCTCCATGTCTTTAGGTGGTCAGACAAGCACAGCCCTCTCAGGAGTCCTACCATGACAAGGCCAGAGAACACCCGGATGACGGTAAGAAGCCAGATTCCCTTTTCCCCCACTTTCCCAGAGGACATATTGTGCAATCTGGGTACCTGGTTTTGATACTTCCATTTAATTCAGGCAGCTGGGACCAGATATGCAAGACTGTGCCCACATAGGTATTCTTTTGACAGACTAGGAAAGAAAGCCCAGAAACTCAGTTTCTCTCTCATCGTGTATCTAGAACCAGCCCTTAAATGAGTCTGGGCTTTGGGGTATACTTTGGCTTCCAGGGTCTTAGAGAAGGGATGTTTCTGGGAAGTGTTTGTCAGCAGTGACCAATTAGAATTTTTCATTTGCAAAATTGCTGTGTGTAGGTTCTCAGTACAGAGGAAGAAGGAAGGGAGCGTGTGGACAGATGGGTCAGGGCTCACTAAAACTGAATCTAGTTTCTAAAATATAAACAGTGTTAGAAGCTACACCTATCAAATAATAGACATTGCTCCCAATACTTAAATCTCTCTCTCTCTCTCTCTCTCTCTCTCTCTCTCTCTCTCTCTCTCTCTCTCTCTCTCACACACACACACACACACACACACACACACAGAGTCTGTCTTTGCTTATTCTAAGTTTAATCAGATCACCATAGGGTTCAGTTGTCAATCAGTTGACATTTCTGGTCTCCTTTAATTACTTAACAATTGGCCTGTCTAGAATGGAATGTTTGTACAATCAGTGTGTCGATCAAGGGGCAGGGAGAGAGCCGTACATCAGCCGTCCTTCTTGGCAACAAGTAGCTATACAGATTAAAAGTAAAAGGAATATTTCTTTGGCAGACTGATGTAAGTTTAGCCATGAAATTGGGTCTTCCAAAGGTTAATTCACTACAAATTTGGGTTTTAACAGTAAACTAGATCCATATCTCCTTCAGTAAAATCTAACATTTAGTAAAAATCCAGAGGCACAGGTGGAATTTTTGAGTTTGTCTACAAGAAGGAGACTTCCAATGCATAAATGTGTATGTGTCTTGGGGGGTAAATGGTCTCCCGTATTAACAGTTCAGTTTTAAGTGTGTGTGTGTTCCCTTATGTTCCTGTGTTTCTCAGTCTAGTTTGTTAGCATTAGAACAAATTAAGTTAGAAGAATAACACTTATTTTTGTAAAAACATCAGTCAGTAGTGGAAGTAAATTGAACCACATGTTTTTTAAACATCTGGTTTGCTGTTGAGCCATTGGAGAGCATAAATACTGTCAGTCTAAAATAGAGCATAATAATTCAGTTACAGTATGTTATAAGCAAATATTTTATGTAAAGTCTGCCTGGTCTTAGGAGCAAGAGATTTTTCTGATGAATATCATTTGATATAAAAGGAAATTCGATGCATCTTTGATTGTTTTTTGGATTCTCCCAGGAAAGCATCCAGATGGAGGCCTGTACAACAAGGGGCCCTCCTCCTACTCTAGTTATTCTGGCTACATAATGATGCCAAATATGAATAGCGACCCATACATGTCGAATGGATCTCTTTCTCCACCCATCCCGAGGACAGTGAGTAACATGCTGATGTTGAAAATTATTTTCAGACGTGCAAATTGATTTGTGTTTCAACAGAATGCTTACTTCTTCAGACGCATTGGCAATGCCTCCATTGTGTGTGAGTCCTCATCACTGGTGAGAACGTTTGAGGGGTAGCGGCCTGGGAACAGTGCTGTCTTTATGTCTTCCCTTCGGACTTTTAGATTTAGGCTGGCGTGCTAAGATGAATAAGTAGAGGATCACAAATTATGGAACCAAGTGGAGCTAAGTCAACAAGTCTATGATTTTTATGTGTACCATGTTTCTATGCCAACGCTGGGAGGAAAATGGGTTTAGTCTTTCACTCAGCTAAGGACCAGGGAGCTTTCAAAACCCGAAACTGGTTAGAGGCTCATTTGAATCTAGACGTTCAGACTGTTATTTTGGCTTCTGAAAAATGTCTTGTTTTATATTATATTCGCTATCTGTTGATAAGGAAGGCGGGTGAGCCCTTTCCACTCCATTGCCAGCTGGGAAAATATCACCTGAAGATCGTGCCATGAAAGCTGTTGCTATTTTTAACCTTTCGGTTCCGTTAACTTCAAGTTGTGAAGATGCAGCCCCACACACCCGCATTATGTTGGCGTGCTCAGCCTTAGGAAGGATTTCGCGTTATTTGGTGCTATCCCCCTTTTAGCGGGGGCGGGGGTGGAGACTGTGCCTGTGTCTCCAAAAAACACCTGAATGGTAACTTGAGGATGTGCACGTGTTGTCCTGGTGAAGACACTGTCTATACTGGGGCTTCCTAGGAAGCTGCTGAGGTGGTCCTTAGTTCCCTGTTCCCAGCCCCACTCCTTTGCCAGTGAACCTACAGTCTCCACGGAACTGAGAAGTCAGTGAGAAACACTTGGGGGAAGGGGTGTCACTGATGCACTAGTGACAGAACCCGAGAGCTGGGAGGTTCACTGAAGAAGCAGAGAGGAAGTGGCTGGTAATCTTAACTGTAGCGCCTGTGGCTCTCTTAATGGTCTATACCCTGCGTGGTTAAAATGATAGCTATGTAAAGTTTGTGGGCCTTGTGATTTCAGACTGAAAGTGATCGTTTTCCTACAAATTACGTCTGGATAGTTAAACTCAGGCAGGGAGCATGGTTTTTCTCTCTTTTATAAAGCAGCTGAAATAGGGCTCATGGGGAACAAATCTTGGAGATTTTGTGAGGTCCGTGTTACAAGGACTGTTCCCTCCCATCATTTTAGAACATCTCGAATTTGTAATGAGATTTAACGTTTGTGCAGTGCGTAGGATCTTCTTCCTCAAATGTGGATGAGCTAATAAAGAATAAAGCCGTCATAGTCTGTTATTGAGAGATTACCCCCAAGATGCATTGAAAATGCTTCTGGGTTTCACAACTTGTAGAGGACTTGTTGAGCCAGAGAGACAAATATATGTGATTTTTAAAAATAATTTAGCAGGGTTTTTTTTTGTTGTTGTTTGTTTGTTTGTTTTTAATAGGAGGGACATTTTGGATAAGGAATAGTTGAAGATTTGGTAGAAAGACTAAAAGGTCAACAAATAATCTTTTCAATAAGTTAGAGTTTAGATAATAGAAACTCCCTTCCAGAACTGCTTTTGCTTTACCCATGAGTACAGTTGTGCTGAATTGTGGTTTATTCCATAGAGAGAACAGTGGCTTCTCTCTCCAGACAAGAAATCTGGGGAAATTAGTGTAATAAACTTCCTGGTATTTATACACAACCTTTACAGATATTGACAGTTATCCTTTCCCCTGTAAGCTGTTATTCTGTCTTGGGTCTCTGTAGCCTTTTCTCCAGATTTCTCCAGAGTACTCTTTCTGGTGTGTGTATGTGCACGCACACCTGCCTACCTACCTTCTCATCCCAGCACCATTTTGAAATGTCAGTAAGTTCGAAGGTATTTATTGTTATGTTTGTATTAAAATGTTGACATTCATGAATCAGTCATTCATTGCTTAGGAAAGATTTGTGGTCTGAGTAAATGTCACACAGTAGACTGTGTTCAGAGGACCGTTATTCTGTTTTCTGATGCCTGTACTGAATCCTCTTACACGTTAAAATGCATTCATGTTAGGTATGTTTTATTGAGAGACCCTGCAGTTTACACAATTCCAGAAGCCTTTCAGTTTTAACCACAAGGCTGTCAATTTTTTTTTTAAAGTCCGACTGAAGTGAGTTACAGTCTTTGGTTTTTAATACCTAACAGCTGTTTGTAGTGTTTCTGAGATCAAAAACACTTTAACCGGAAGGCAGCCTCTCTTCTTCGCCCTGACCACACTTCTCTCTTCCTCCTTCCTTCTGTCCCCAGCAGGATTGTTTGTGTCACTGACATCAGCACTGCTCGACTTTCTTAGAGGGTGTCAGGAGCTGGGGGACCCTTTGCATTTGAGTTTAAGGTTGGTTAGGGGCATCCCTGTGACTTGGATTTGCATTACAAACAACTCCTGCTTTATGGCATCTGCTGCCTGTGAGAACTGGAGAGAAACATCTGTGGGTGGGCGAGGTATGGACTGGGCCCCCCCTCTCCTTTCTGTGTCTAACTGCAGTCCCGAGAACCCCAGCTCTGGCCAAGTGGCACACACAGGGACACCCCTTCGGAAATCTCACCATAACCATATGCTCCTGTTTTAAGCCTGGCCAGGCATCATGGCACCTAGTCAGCACTGCCTTGACCCATCCATCTTTTCTCCTTCTGCTGGGATGTTTTAGTTGGGCCCTCCTTCTAAAACTGGAACTTTTAAGGGAGTTTATCTGTATCTGACGTCTTATGAATGAGTCTCTTCTAGAATTTTAAATACACATTTTTAGTTCAGCTGAATTGAGCCGTCAAGGAGAAAGCAGCCATGACAACTTGGTGTCGTGTGTACGCTCTTCAAGCGCAGAAGATGAGGAGGTGTGCTAGCCTGTTAATATTTCAGAGACAGGACCCCGCCCCCAGAGAGTTTATTAAAAGCATATGTCCAAACCTTTCTTACTTATGAAGAGAAGGCCAATGTCGAGGCATTCAAACAACAACAAAACCAGTTCTTTGAGTCCCAAGCATGGTGGTAGAGCTGAGTGTGGAGCACAGTGAGTGTGAGTGAACCTGAGCTCACCGGCTTTAACATTTGAAAGGTCCCTGCTGGGGTAAGATTAGCCTGTGGTTATTCATCTTGGAAGTCAACCTTCCATTTGTCCCTCCTGCAGCCCAAATGGTCAACACCTAACCAGAGAAGCCTTCCACTGATGCCTGGGGAGGGAGTGGTATCAAGAGACCCCTGACTACAGTAGCTCTGAGTCTTGAGAGCTTCCAACTTTCTGGTTCTCTGTGGTCTTCCCTAGAGCAGCCTTTTAGGGAAAGGGAAGATGTTTATGGCCTCTTTTCAGCCGCCTTTTGCAACCTTAATTTTAAGGTAGAAATTGCTATGGAAAGGTTATGGGGATTCACTTTCAATTATTTAGAATAATTCAATTATTAAAAGTTGGATGACGTTTCCTTCAAGGAAACCACGTTTGTGTTTCAGATGAACAGATCTGTAGCTAGCTCCCATCCCTGATTTTGTTCTAGTTTACAGACAGCTAGGATTTGATTTTTCTCAGTGTTCACATCTGGGACAACAGAACGGGGGTGGACTTGGCTAACCATGAAGCCCCTGACTGCCACGATGCCAGTGTTGTGTGGCTTTGAAACAAACTGGAAGATGTAGAAACTCGAGAGGGGGTGGCTGTGGGTTTTAGAAGAGGAGGTTCTTTGTCCTGCAAGGGGCTACCAATTTGACTTCCTGATGAATTAATTTTCATTTTCTGTTTCCAGCTGTCTGGTTTCTCACAGCTAAGTAAGCTGAAGCATAGGATATGTTTTCAGAGTGAATTCTGTGTAATTTTTGGATGTGGCTGTCAGAAGGTGTGGGACATTTCCTCTTCAGAGTCTATGGTTCTTCTGTTTGATCCTTCCTCACTATGCTGCTACAAAGTTGGGAAAGACTCATAATTGTGAAGAATTTGGAGCCATTTCTGTTGCTCCCCCAGATAGGCCAGATCTCTAATGATACTGCTTATTCTGGCATCCCAGGGAGCCATGCTCCATGTGGTCCTTTAGTAGTCAATACTGTATTTACTGATCACTGACCCTCATTCATATGCCTTTTTATTTTTTTATTTTTTAAGATTTATTTAACTTTATTTTATGTGCATTGGTGTGAGGTTGTCAGATCCCCTGGAACAGGAGTTAAAGGACTTACAGACAGTTGTGAGCTGCCCATATGGGTGCTGGGACTTGAACCTGAGTCCTCTGGAAGAGCAGTCAGTGCTCTTAACCGCTGAGCCATTTCTCCAGCCCCCACATAAGCCTTTTTAAATGACCCTAATAGTTTTGTTTGTTTATTCAGAAAGACATGAGAACAACCCAAAATAGAGTAACTTTGCTAACACAGGATCACTAAATCAAACCATGAACAAATCATTTGTAGTTTGATTTTGATTTTTTTTAAGACAGGGTGTTGACTACTTAGGGCCTCGAACTCTCTGAAATACAAGGACCTCTGCTTCCCAAGTACTGAGCTTAAAGGCATGAACCCTACTGTGGTGAAGCATCCGTAGAGCCTGGTATGGACCTTTGCCTTATTCTCGCCAGCTTCCTCGTATAACTCAGTCTTCACCCGAGCCGCACACTTTGGCATGACTGGCAGAGCTAGTTTCACAAGGAAGCCCACCTGGCCTTGAACTTGGAGCCTAACCAGCAGGCAGCTGAGAACCTGCAGCTGTCGAGGTTCTGAAAGTGACTGAGATTTTTATGGACTGGTTGGCTACCCTTTGATTTTGGAGAAAGACTTGGTGTTTAAAATTAAAACATGCCAGTGCCGCCTGTGGCCAGCAGAGAACGCGTGTGTGCATTATCCCCAGGTACCCGTCGCACTCAGCAGCTACCATTCCACAGGAGTTGCTGACATAGGCCTGAAGGTTGGTGTTGAGAAGGAGCTCTTCACTTTAAAGTTGTGCTTTGTGTAAGCACCTGTGACA